TACTTATTTCCCACTTGACGGTTAACGGAAAGAAACAAAACGACAACAAAAAACAACAACACCAAAACATCACATGTATAAGGAAAAGTGCAACACCCTCATCTGAGTCCTACTGGAGAAGAAGGTGGAAAGCAGCGCATAATAATAATAACAACAATAACAATGGGACCTGCAAATAAAGAACAGACATCACATCAAAGACATCAAAAACATTTAGCAATGCAGGACCAGAGTACATGGACTTATTCACATTCTGCTTCATATAGTCCCATCTTTCTTAATTTATACAATTTCTTTAACTGAAAAATACAAATACAATTCTTTAGATCCTTTTGTTGAGAATTCCACAATTTTACACCAACCACCAAAATACACATTTGCTTAAGAGTAGTCCTTGCATAAGGATGCTTCAAATTACATTTCCTTCTGTGGTCTTCCTTGTCTGATCCAAAAACAAACAACTGTTGTAAATATACTGGTAACATTCTGCTTTTCGCCCTGTGCATTACTGAGGGATGCACAATATTGGTTTTTTGAAACCGATACCGATAACTTCCTGCTTCTCAAGACCAATACCGATAACCGATAATAATATAATATATATATATATATATATATATATATATATATATATATATATATATATATATATATATATATATATATATATATATTAAATGTACCTGTAGTTTTTGCACACCTGGTGGTAAAAAAAAGACTAGTAGTGAGCAAATGACATGAGCATTACTACTATGAACAAAACAAAGCCAAGAACAGTTTTGACTCTCGTCAAGCGCTATCATTTCTATGATGAAGTTAGAGATCGTTTTAGCCCTGGGGTCGTCTGGCAAACTTCCTTTTTCAAAAGCCTCGTAGATAGGTAAAAGCCCCGGTGCCTTTGCAGCTGGCTTTGGATTCGCCGCTAGTTTAGCAGCGCAGGCGTCTTCGTACGCTTTTAACACACCATCATGGCGATGTTTCAGGTGACTAATCAGGTTGGAAGTATTATAGCTCGTTGCCTTTTTCCCTCCTCGTGGAACTTCTGCATTTGTTAATACAAATAGCAAGAGAACTATCTAACTCTGAAACTTTGAAATAGTCCCATACTACCGGCGACATGTTTGTTTACTGTCCTGGCTTCACGGCCGCACACCATTTACGTCACAGCCAGGCATGAGTTAGGGAGCGCTGGATTTGTGAAGAACTCCCCTCTTCCTAAACCACTAATACCACAGTACTGGCAAAACGGGAGGAGCCGAGTGAAAAACAAGCGCCCCTCATCCCAATCCACCCACACCGCAGTATTTTTTTCTTTTCCCCCCCAAAAAATATATTGTATATTATCGGGGCTATTAATACTTTTATCGGGATGACGTCATAATTCCTAATATCGGACCGATAATTATCGGGCCGATAATTATCGTGCACCACTAGCATTACTGATAATGTCTGCAGCTCAGCTATGTCTTTGAGTTTCAAGAGTCCTGACTTAAAAAACAGTCTGTTGGTGTGTTCTCTTGAATCAGCGTTATGTATTATTCTTACTGCCCTTTTCTGTAATATTGACAATGGCTTTATGTTGCTCATATACATATATATAAATAAATAAAAAATGGCAAAATGAGTGAACAGTACAATATTCTCAATGCCTTGTAATCTAGCAAATACTTTGCCTTGTTTAGAACAGAATTACATAATACAAAATGGATCGTGCAAGTTGGAATATACATTAAAGCAGTGGTTCTCAACTGGTGGTACGGGTCGCGGATCCGTTTCGAGTGTGAGTGAAGAAAAAATAAATACTTTTTTTTAAATATATATATCTTTTTCTTTGTGTGGGAAAAAAGTCAACTTTTATTTTGAAGGCCCGACCGGAGACCATCATCTTCTCAATAAAACATCTTTGCTGATGTTTTTTCGAGTCTTCTGGCCAATCGGAATCAAGATTGTTGCCGGAAGTCCCCACGGAGAATAACTTTGCGGTAAAATAATAAAAATGAACACATAATGAAATATGACCCCCGGTTTGATTGACAGGTCACAGAACAATGGAAGCTATCTACTCTTACCCACAATTTAAAGTATTTCACACAGACTCTCTCCTCTTTGCTCTTCTCTCTGTGTGGAGCAGAAAGTTCAGCTTCAGAACAAAGTGAAAAACAAACAATGGCATACAATATTATTAATATGTCGGGTAGTAATAGATTTATTTATTTTCTTCTCAGAGTGTACCAGAATGCGTAGTTTGTTAGTATTTCTAAAAATCTCCTGGGGGAGAATCCCCCCAGACCCCCTGCTGGGGTTGGGTTTTCAGCATGTGTGCCTTTTTATGTTATACAGTTCATCTTTGATTCCATCATCTCATTAAACCTTGTTTAAAAGCATACTTTAGTTCTGTGAAGGGATATAAGGGATATATGCACTGTACTTCACTTTAATTAATATTGTCTGCTGAAAAGCGTATATTACAGCAAAACATTTTGTTGAATAGATTTGAGTGTTTCAACATTTCGGGTTGCGATTTATTGACAAAGCAAGAAGTGGGTCCCGAGGCCTGACCAGTTGAGAACCACTGCATTAAAGTATATTTCCAATGATGTGGTGTTTCCTAACAGAAAGGAAAACATCTCTATCACAGTTTGAAACACTTTTATTCTACCCTTTGCACACATGCATTGAACACAAAGATGAAACAGTCTCTTTGAGCCACAAGTAAAACATTGCTGTCAATATCGCAATCAAGTCATTGAGGTTATTGCCATATCGTAAAATTGGAACAATGTGCACTTCAACTTTTTATTTGCTTTCAGGCAACACACAATTGTTCTGTAACGGATCCAACTATAACAGTGTTTTCTAAATTGGCTCCACCTTCAGTAAGCGCTCTTGTGATTATAACTAAGCACACCGCCCTCAGTCTGTGTTGGACAGCCGGCTCCATTAAATCCCAGCAAACATTTCTGTCCACAAATTGGCAGTTGGTGTGATTGCATGTCTGCTTCCACGTCCAGCAGGGGGCAATGGACTCCCACACACTTGGAGTATTCAGGAGTATCTGCACCAGTGTGACTGTAAATAACACACCACTCCTGACAGTGGCTGTTATAATGCAAATCTACTCATCACTTCTCCTGCTTCCTCTGTCACCATATGGAGGCAAAACATGTCAGTTATAATACTCGCGTTGTTTCTGCAGTTGTGGGACGTTCCTCTCATAATGCATGTGTGAAAAAAGGGGAAGTGCAGACATAAGCACTCCCTCCCTCCCTCCCACGTCCCCACTCATCTTCCCCCGCCGCCGTTTCTGAACCCGCGCTTGATGCCGCTGCAGTCGGGTCTATCTCTCTCACAGCTCTCTCTTTCACACACTCTCTCTACCAATAGAGGCTGAGTGTATTTATAGTCCAGCGTGTCACCCGGCAGCCAGCAAACGGGGGATTACCTCGGCCACGATGAGCGAGTGGGGGCCTCAACAGGCTTTGTGACTCACCGCCGCACGGGCAGGGTTTACCACACTCTCTGCGGAGGTATTGAGCTGCGTGTGTGTTTTTGTTTGTCTGGCAGATTTCATTGCATTATTATGGGGAGTTTATCGAATCTTGAAGAAAGCCTGAATCGGTTGTTGCATGCTCAAAGAGATTGATTTCTCCCAAGTTAAGGGCGAACTTCTCAGGAATATGGCATTTGAAGATGTATTGTTTGCTTGCTTCTGAACAAAGCAACAGCCTGTAGTAGAGCACTGGCTGTGAGCTGAAGTGGTGTTATTCCAAGAGGGGAAAAAAGCCTTTTGTAACAGTTCAACAATTAAAAGTGGGATTTTAGAGTTGAAAATGCAAGCGTTTCTTTCCCGTTATCATGTCTGAAACATTTTCTGAAGTGTCACATCTTACAGTCATGTTACACACGAACGCTGCTTTATGCTTGCTGTAGGCTACTCATGTCATGTTGTGCCGGTCTCCCTTTCTCGTGAACATGCCTCACTTCACACCCGTGAGTCTTTGGAAGCGCCTCTGGCTCGGTAGAAGAAGTGATTACTACGGGCTCCGTCAACCTTGAAACCCTCCTGAACTAGTAAAGTGAGGTGAACGCTCACCGTGGAAGCTTTTAAATTGCATTTTAGAATGAGACTTTTGAACTGAAATGTACACTGAATGTGCAGAGTCACAAAAGGACTTTCACTCTGAATTCTTAGATAGATTCCTGTTTAAGCTTGGCACACACGTGTATTCTACAAGAAGACACTATTGATTATATTGCCTTGGGGTTTCTGCTCGGACACTATAAGAGCTACTGGTTTCCCTCCAGTTCTCTGCTGCTTACACTGCTCATGCTACACACACACTTGTCCCATTCATCTGCTTTTAGTTCCTAGTTTGATTGTGTTACAGTGGAATCATTTCAATTCCATCTGCTGATAAGCCTGTTTGGCTTAAGAAACACCGTTTAATGAACTTCCTTTGTTGTGTTTGCATCCGTGTGGGTTAATCAAATAGTCTCCGGGTGTAGAGCTTTTAATAGAACTTTCTATGAAAACCGTGATTTCCCCTCTAAAACAACGTGGAACATGTTGTGGCTAGAATTTCAAGCACAAAGGATTTAAGTAGATATGCAAGTGCATTTTCAGAGCCTTTTATTTAATCGGTAGTCAGGCAAACGGTTGGGAAAGTATAACAAATACCGGTCAAACCTGTTATCATTTATTATCAAGATTGATGAAATGCTGTATCCCTTCAGGTCTGAGTGACTCATTCATTATTACTTTTTAGATATAGCCAACAGGAAGTCATTTTTGTTTCATGTTGTCAAAGAATGTACTTGTTAGGAGTTTGTACCAGAGAGAAATAACTTCAAGGCGTCATAGGAAACAGTTTGTGCATAATAAAAAAACAAGTTATTTGAAGCCTCTCAAGAAAGAAAGCAAAGCATAAATTCACACCGTTATTTACACAAGACAAGTCTCGGCTAATCGTCTGTTTGTGTCTTTTTTTCTTCCTCCGCAGATACTTGGAGAAATATGAGAAAGTCCACCACTTCGGTGAGGATGATGAGGAAACGCAGCCGGGGAATCCAAAAAACCTTCTTCCAATCGGTGCAATTCCCAGCTCTTATAACTACCAGCAACACAGTGTATCAGGTAGGCAGAGGTTCTCTTCTTGTGTGCTTTGTATTCCGAAGCGCTCTTCCTGTCGTAACGAGTTCACTCTGTGTTTCTGTCTGGGTCACGTCTGTATCGGCCCGGGATTCAGTTTCTCTTTGCATATTTTCTTCTTTTCTGTCTCGTCTGCCAACTCAAACACTTGGTTGTTACGCAGATGTAATTACAGCAAAGCATCACTTTGTCAGAGCTGTGTTTGTCCAATTCATGACAAACTGGCCAAGCATAGAGAAGCACACCAACAGCTGTTTTGTTTTTTTAAATAGAAGGTTGAATTTATTTCACAAAGATATTGAAAGGAATATGCTGATTGCAAGTAAACCGTAAAAGATAGTGTGTCGTCCAGCTGCAGCGATGACCGGAGCACAGACGGGTATTATTCACCAGCATCTGCAGTCAGTTAGTTCGCCTGTCTGGAGAGTTGGCAGCTGCCGTGTTGCGTGCATTTTTGGGTCACATGCAGCCACTTTCCCTGCCCTTCACCACATCCATTAGTTTGTGTAGAGTCTGTCTTATGAAGTCAGCAGTAACGTCATAGCTTTGAACGTAGCAGAGCAGTGTGTGAACAGTGCGTCTGTGGATAAGTGCTACACCTCTTCAGGACAAGCTCCCTTCCCTGATCAATGTGAAGAGGGTTAGCACAAACTCACTTAAGGTGGGCTTATCTTTAAGATGGACTAGCTTTTTCTCTTTTAATGATAATGGCGAAGCATAGAAGTTGAAATGTTGGCAGTATTATATATATATATATATATAGTGTTTGAAATATTGTCCAATTACTTTTAACAATCAACACCTAGGGGTTAGCCGGTCCGCTCCTTTTCATATTAAATGTTAGTCATTTTATTAATATTATCTCCGGTTTTCACACAGAGAAAGCAATCTATTCTTTTGTATTGTTTTAAAATAAAATCCTGCTGATTTTAAGCAATCTTTCCATTCCAATACTGACTGACATTCCTCACGTTTATCTCGCAGTGAGCCATTTACTTCAGTTCCTACCTTGCCAAGCGCTGCTGTGTTTGATTCAAGGCTATGAAGGCTTTTGGTGATGCCTCTTTATTCTTGAAGCTTGCCTTTGCTGCTGTCTTGATGAAACTGAACAACCACATTGTGTTTCAAACTAAATGTTTTGCGCACCTGGCCAGCTTCTTGTTTGTACTGTCCACACGGTGAATGGGATGTGTCCATTAGCCCCCCGGCGCTGTAGAGTGGACCGCCGCGCTCTGGGGTAATTGACTATCTTGACAGCACTTATTGATGAAGGGAAGGAAGGAGAGCGCACGTATTGGCTTCCCCCTCAGCTTAGATTGGAGCCTGTATCCTTTTTAGTCCCCGGCTCTTTTCTCTAAAAGACGGTGGTGAGCTTTCTCATTTACTCCATTACATTACATGTTACTTGTTAGACGCTTTTATCCAAAGAGACTTACATACTCAATACTGTGGGCAATCCCCACAGGAGCCATTTGGAGTGAAGTGTCTTTCCCAGGGACACAACCACATGCTGACTGCAGTGGGGTTTGAACCTGTGACCCCTGAACCCAACACCAAGGCTCTACCCACTGTGCCACACGCCTCCCTACTAGAGAGGAGTCTCATTGCTCCGAGGAGACAGACATTCAAAAGCTTATTATAGGTTTTAGGTTGTGTGGGATGACTCTTAATGCTTTTTCTAGTAGGAGTGCAGAAGTGGCTGAAACCAATCATTTCAGGAATTTAAGAAATAGACATTTAAGGCAGCTGTCATCAATAAACATTTACATATTATACTTATTTGAATGATTATCATAAATGTGTCATACATACGTGTATGGACTTGTGGAATAGCTTGTTAGGCTTTATTTGAGACGCTGAACAAAAAGGGAAAAAACATAGTGTTTATCAAACAAGTTGTCATGACAGTTTTTGTTGTGATTAAAACATTTGTAAACAAAATGCTTAAGTGCCCTAATAGTCATGGCTCTAACTAGACTATTAGGAGCTGAAGAGCCTCAGTGGGGATCAAAGACGTTTCTGTATTACCTTATTTGGCATTTCCTCCCGCTATTGTCACATCTGACACTGATAACGATACATCTGCAGTTATCTACTATTTTGGCCTGGCTGATGTTATTGGTCTAGCCCCATTACAGTTTGATAAGTAAACTGCATGTACCCCCCCGGCTCTGAGTCCAAATGTAACGGTAATGCGGTCAGACAGCCAGGCTGGCATCGTGCTATGTTGGCTCAGCACGCTCAATGATGGTTCATTATTTGACAGGTCGGTCTGTAAATCTCTCACCGAACTTTCGTCTTCTCCGTTATCGCGTTTAGTCGCGGGACAGCGGTTATTCCTCTCTGCTCGTACTGCATTCCCCGTCAGGTGCCATGTTTTCCATCAGCCCTGCAGCATGAGCACACGGACAGCTTTTGAATAGAGCAACTCGGCTGCACAAACCTTTCCAGCATGGAAATGAAATTCACTCAGCGGGACTTCTCTGTGCTTTATGATTGGTTTCCAGAGGCAGCAGTCCACAAAGATCCTGCACCAAATTGAAATATCCACTGTAAGGAAAGAATACTCCTATGCAGAGGAATGATTGATGGCAGAAAATCAACCTACATTAAGGGAGGAGACTCGGGTCTTTGATGCCGAGTTCCCTTTCAAAGACTGGATCATCTGTCTTTTTGTTAAGCTGTTGGGTAACATTCAAGTCTCTTTTCTTTCCCCACACAAGGACCGTTGCTATTTAGGATTAGAAGTCATTATAAAAACCCATCATGGAGTCAAAGACAACACAATTAAAAGTTAAGAGTGCACTCGTGTTCAACACAAGACACGGCTCATCAAACTAATTCAAACTAAACACAGCTTTCCCTGAAAAGCTTAACGGCCCATTTGGTTTGCTTAAACTCTGGAAATGGGAAATATAAATCTGAGTTTAACCGGCTAAATGTGCGATTGTCGTACTTGGATAAAACATGGTAGGAAATCGCCTTTCACCGCTTCATGTTGGATTTTTGTGCCAAATAAATCCCTTTTTTTAAAAAGCATTTTTAGGCCCTCAAAACAGCGACTGGTAGGAATTATAATTCCAACAAGGTCCTTAGACTCTGACTGTCAAAAAATGTGATGCAGACTCTGACCAGGAACTCCTTTTCAAACGCACCTACTTCTGAGAAGTAAGAAAACAATTCCAATATAAAGTCAGAGATGGCGTTTATCAATGTTGAAATGTGTCCACAACTGTTTGTCGGTGTTGAGACTCGTAGTAAAGGTTTCTCACCCCTCAGCTCTGATTTCGGAATAGGTTAAATAACGCCGGAATTTGTTTCCTCTTTTCCTCCAGACTATCTCCGCCAAAGCTATGGACTGTCTTTGGATCTGGTTCCGCCGTGCGACTACAACAAACTGGTGCTGTCTCTCCTCTCGGGTCTACCCAACGAAGTGGACTTCGCTGTTAACGTGTGCACGCTGCTTTCCAACGAGAGCAAGCACTCCATGCAGCTGGACAAAGAACCCAAACTGGTGACGCTGCTGCTGGCCCACGCCGGCGTCTTCGACGACTGTACGTTCAGCACCTCACTCGGACCTTTTTGTGCTCCTTACCCCCTCCTAGATATATTTGATCACAGGAGAATTGTAGAGGGATGATACTGAACTCTGTTGCTGTACTCTAACCTTACATCTTCATCTGTGACTTTGTAGCACTAGGCAGCTTCTCTGGGGTATTCGGGGCGGACTGGAAGGAAAAGACCTCCCGGGACTTTGTCAGGGTAAAGTAGAAAAACTGATGTATTATTTTGATACCTTCTGCATGTTGTGTTTTAATTTGGAAATGATATATAGATATTACATAGTGGGTAATTTAGGATTCAACAAAGAAGAATATGTGAAATAAAGAAGCCAGTGTCTCTGGTTCTGCTGCAATGAGTTCGATTACTTTTCACTGGAGCTGGACATTAGTTCGGGTCTGTTATAGTCTGATTGACTAATTATTATTGTTATTGTTAAAATGCACTGCTAACAGCTGCTGTTCTCCTGCAGTTCTGGAAGGATGTGGTGGAGGACGATGAAGTCAGGGAGCTGATCTGGGACAAGAACAGTCGGGCACAAGGTAAACACGCTTTTGCAATATTATCTTTTAGCCCTACCACCTGGGATTACCTGGGATTTTGATATTGCACTAATCCATATTGCACCTGTTCTTTTTTTGATAAATGGATTGTATTGTTTACCGTTCCTCTCCCCAGAAGGTACGTCGTGTGAAGGGCGCTGGCAGAGCCTCTTCCACCCGCCGCGGAACTCAGGCATCAGCGACATGGAGGCGCAGCGGGTGCTGCAGATCGCCGTTATCCTGCGGAACCTCTCATTCGATGAGGCCAATGTCAAGCTGCTGGCGGCCAACCGAACGTGCCTGCGCTTCCTCTTGCTCTGCGCCCACTGTAACCTCATCTCACTCCGACAGCTCGGACTGGACACGCTGGGCAACGTGGCTGCCGAGGTTGGTGGGCTCTTGTTGATTATCATTTCATATACTTAAGCATTTTGCGAAATATTGCGAGTATGACTTCAAAAAGAGACACTTTTTTCCAACACTAGACACTTGAGGTGTTGATGCTGATTCCACAGACTCTCCTCTTTAATCATAAATTAATTTCATAAGTTTCATCTGAACTAATAAGAAACCTTGCAATCTGTGTGTTGCACTACTCAGGGGTCCGAAAAGATCTATTTGACCCCTCCCCTGTACCACAGTGGTCCAATCATAGCATGGCAACAGTCACTTGACACTTTTCCCACATGGTGTAGCATTAACCGTTAGCAAAAGTGATGCTAGCTATTTGAAGAGTTTAAAGGCGCTTCTCAGGCTTCCACAAACCCCAAAAATACAATAAGATGTTCTGACATACACAGCGGTTAGTTAGAAAACAAGCCTGCATTGTCCTTTTGCAATATCAGTTACATTCATCAATTCAATTATTCTTTTTGCGATAAGCAAAATCCACTTTAGCATGTTTTCTCTGACATTAGGGCGCTTTCTTCCAAGCTGCGTTATGTCTTCAAAGCAGTCTAATTTGTCAAGATTCACATATTTATTTGACCAAGGGGAACCTTCTCCTTTCCAACGGGCATCAAACTCTTGAACCTAGAAAAAACAAAGGCTTAATACGTTAGTGATTTAGTGTCTGAATACGTCCCAATGCGCTTGCTTCAATTTTAAATACCACATGTATTTATATGAGATGCATGTAGACGAGCTGATGTCTATTTTTAGAAACTACGCTGCATATGGTCACTGATGGTATCCGTTGAGCCTTTGATGGTTGGGGTTTAGGGCAGTAAGCACATATTTCAGATATGATACGGCAAAGGCTTCTTTTAAATAATTACATTATTGTTTACATACTGCGACCAAGAACACCAAATCAATAATGTCATAATGGGATTATTGTGGTTTGGCCATTTGCCAGCAAGTCACGCCTTTTTGTTTGGTTCAATGTATTTTAATGTCAAACTATTTGTGTTGTACTTATTGCCAGCTGTCTTGGTGCACGGTGGGTTTGATTAATAAATGCGGTGTGATTTATTACAGCTCCAGCTGGATCCCGTGGACTTTCGGACGACTCATCTGATCTTTCACACCGTCACCAAATGTTTGATGTCCAGGGACCGGTTTCTCAAGATGAGAGGTGAGTGTTGTGGCCGGCTGTGACTTATTCCCATCAGTATGCTGTGTGAAGCACCTGAAGATACATTTCTCTGTGTGTGTCTCTTCCAGCCATGGAAATCCTGGGCAACCTCAGCAAGGCCGAGGACAACAGCGTGCTTATCTGTGAGTACGTGGACCAGGACTCGTACAGGGAGGTAATAATGCTCCTCACCCTGCCTGACCTCATGCTTCTCATGGCCTCTCTGGAGGTGCTGTACCTCCTGGCCCAGCTCGGAGAGATTCCCTGCAGCAAGATCGCCTCCGTCGACCATAGCATAGGTAGGAATCCTCTCCTGTCCATGTTTTTGGTTTGCTTGTAAACAAAGTATGCTAGCAGCTCACACAAAAAGACCACAGTTTTCGGCCTAATAGTCAGGAGTCGCACTTTTGTTTTCATTCTACTTAATAACTGAACCCAGGGCTTGAAATCAAGTGTAACACAGGCTTCTTGTGTTTTTGCAAAGTGTTTGCCTGCCAAGTTTCAGCCCCCTCGTCTTTCCATTCAAGAATAACTGGCTCAAATGACAGTGTTTCTTATCTTAAGGAATCAGGCTTACCCTCTTTCCGCAGTAACATTGTGATCTGAAATGGGACTGCTCGTTCACTGCTGACCTTTGTGCCTCCTCTTCTTCCTCAGACTTGTTAGTGCGGCTAGTGTCGGTCGACCTTCATACGTTCGGACCCGACGCTCTCACGGCGGTGCGGTTGATCGAGCATCAGGCCAACGCGGAGCAGGCGACCGAGGTCCGACCCCAGCTGGTGGAGCAGGTCCCCGCAGCCGTGCAGGGAGCAGCAGCGCCTGGTGAGGGTCTCAAGTTAGCGGAGCGTTGCTAGCTTATTAAACCACCAAAGGTCAATTTTAGCATTTTTAAGGAAACTTCATATGCTGACTTTTAGCTTTGGGTGTAGGGAAATGAAATATTATGGTCCCCTGGAAATCTGTAGTAAACTCTATCTTCACTAAAGTTATATATTTTAAGGCTATGCAAAACTTGACCTTTTTAAAATTGAGTTTTTTCCAAATCAAATATGTAACGTAAAAAAATCTGCTGCTTTTGTATTCTGATTCTGGCCAGACACTAAGATGTTTGGCATTTGAATGATCAAGAAAGTCATTTAAATTATACAAATGACCACCAGGTGACCCACAACAACAGATAGGAGGGTGCTGTGGTCATGTGGTAAGGTAACGGACAAACTTAACTTTGCTGAACCAACACACTATAGAGCTGCTTCACCACATTTAACTCGGCAGGAAAACAAATCAAGTTTTTTGGAGGAGTCAAATTTAAAATGCGATGAATAGACAAAAAAATACTGAGATTGACTCTGCAACTGATTAGTGGAAGAACGAGACTAAAAGCCATTTCACAAAAAGCTTCTGTTATAATTATAAAAAACCTGACAGCAGCTAGGCATACATAAGGGCAGCCAGAGTCAAGCAGTCTTCTATATTCTAACCTTTTCATAAAACTGATTAAATAACTTGAAATGAAAGTTTTGAACACGGTTATTGACGATTTATCTAAGAGCCGATTTAATTGAATATTTTGTAGTTTTAAATCTCTCTCCACCAATATCATGGTGTGTTGAGACGTGTGCAGATGTAACAGCAGCTTTCCAACCTTCTCACATCACCATATGTGTGTGAATTACCAGACATAGATCCCCCCACCCTTGGAAGTGTCATTCCTTTGCTGTCAGTGAGACACACAGTGCTGCCATCTAGTGGACAGCCTGGGGACTGCTACACACGGGCAGTTGCTTGAAAGCATGAACCTATTTGAAATGTATTCTTTCTTTTGATCTTTTCAGGAACGAGGGTCCCAGCTCAATCCGCCCAACCACCACCGGGTATTGTTGAACTAGATGGGGAAAAGTTTATACTGCAGTGGTAAGAATAATTCACCTGTAAATTAAGGAAAACATTTCAAATGAAGTCTGGTCCTTGTAGCTATGGTTGTCTGTCTGTTGGTTGCATAGTAACCCCTTTGTGTGCTTCTCCAACAGGCTGAACGCACACTTTGAGACAAACTCCGATGGCGCCGTGTCACGATCAGAAATGTACTCGGAGTACTTGTCCACATGCAGTAAAATGGGACGAAGCAACATCCTGAACTCCACAGGCTTCCTCAAATGTCTGCGGTTAGTACCCAGTCTTTTTCTTTAATGATGTCTGGGATTCAGAGAAACTTAAGACAGTTGTAGTAGTACTGTTGAAGTGTTTATAGTTGAAGCTAATTTCAAATACCAATACAGTTAAAATGTTTAATCCTGAAGTGTGGTTGTAGTGTTAATGATCTACGACAAAGTTGCCAGCAAATATTAAGTTCCCCTTTGTGTCCTCCTCCCTCTACAGCACTGTGTTTCCCAACCACACGATGCGGCGGCAAGAGGAGTCCAAGTCCAACGGTCAGGTCCACATCCTGCTGGTGGGGCTGAGGCGCAGGGCCATCCCCCTGCCCATCCAGCTGTACTACCAGCAGCAGCCGCAGCAGCAGAGTCCGGCAGCAGCTGCAACCCCCCCAGCAGCCCGACGCATGGCTTCTGGAGACCCTCAGGTCACGCCAACAGGTACAACTGCCACCACGATTCATGTTCTTTCATTCACTGTTTCTCTGGGAGAGACAATGGGGAGGCTCACACTGTAAGAGCCTGTGCTGGTCAGAAAGAAATGTGTTAAAGGTCTTTGGAAGTATTTTTCAGCCTGGACCCTGTTTTCCCATGGTGTTATGTCGAAGTGAGAAATGGGCACAACAGTTTTTGAAATCAGTCCAGTATGGAGTGAGAGCGCTGGCAGCTGGGGAGAGTTGTGCTGCTTCTTGTAGTATAAAAAGCATTGCATATTGTTTTCGAATAGATTTTTCATTTTATGGCTGAATGTTAAATGCATTATTGGGGTTTCCCTTTCGTGCAGTCTGTTAATATAGGTTTTCTTTGCATCTAAATGGTCTGCAAAGGCTAAAATCCCAAGTTCCAAAAAACAGTTTCTCTCCCTCAGAGCCCAGTCTGCTTTAACAGAGGGGGGAAAGAGGTGAGAAAAAAAGCACCTTTTGAACATTAAAGCATGGAAACTCATCTCAGTAGAAGTGCAAAATACAAATATGACCTGAAATGAGCATAATATGTCATCTAAGCTGATTTCCACAGTGTGGATGAGGCTCAAGCCTCTTGAGAAATGTTCCCCTTACCATTATGGTGGCAAAAACAATAATTGTATCGGACACACATTGAAGGATTACATCGCAGCTGCCATCAGCAGCAGGCTCTTTAAATACTGGACCAATTTCAAGAATTTGTAATTTGGACATAAACATGGGATTATAAAGTCCAGGTGGAGTTACCAACTATAGAACATTAAACACATTTACAAGAAGATTAAAGAGAGTCTTTGTAAACTGAAAATGAGTTATATTAACCTAAGTAGGATCTTGGCTCTGACCCGTTCTGTGTTGATGTGTCACCAGGCTTACCTCTCGGGCCTCCTGGTCTTGGACCCCAGTTTGTGAGGGTCCTCAACCCCAGCATCAGCACCGCTGCTGCTGCCGCACAGGAAGCTCCTCATGCTAACCACCCGACTGTTTCCCGCCACCCTGCGTCTCCGCCGGTACCCATCAATCCTCTGGCAGCAGCCCAACAGGTCCGGCCTGGTCCAGTGGTCCAGATTCCAACGTCGACACCAGGCACACAGAACCACAGCCCGCAGAACCCTGGGGCTCCCCCCACGGCTCAGCTACACTCACCCATGCTGCCCACAGGGACGCCTGTCACGCTCTTTCAGCAAGTACCGCAGGGCCACATCCTCACCGCCAGGGTGCAAGGGGTGTGCCCCCCGCAGGTGGAGGCACCCTCTTCTTCCATCCAGTTGGGACACGGTCAGACGCCCAATTCCCAGGGGTCACGAGGCACATTTCAAAATATCGCCCCCAAACCAGCACCAGGGGCGGCTGGACCAGCAGCCAGTCCCAGCCAGCAGCAGCAGAGTGTGGTCTTAGTCAACCCCCAGCAGAGCCAAGCATTCAACCCCGCCATGCACCAGATAGTTCTCACAAACCCCTCCGCTGTTCCCGGCGCCCAGACTATCCAGATAGCAGGGCAGACTGGAGTTTCAAGCCCCTGCCCGCCCCCCACTACAAATCAAACTGTCAGCCAGTCGCTGTCAATGAAGCGGCAGCAGCAGCTCCAAATGATCCCCCAACCTCCTCCCCCTCAGCCTACCTCCACTGAGTCTAGCTTGATCAAACAGCTACTGCTTCCAAAGCGAGGGCCCTCCACCCCGGGAGGAAAGCTCATCCTACCCGCTCCCCAGGTACCCCTTCCCAACAGCACGTTAGCCCCCAGTCCACAGGTCATGTACCAGCCGAGCTACAGTAGCCAGAATCCCTCTCTTCAGCAGCTCAATGTCCAGCTGGTTCCTGGTCAGCTTCCCGCTGCAGGAGCCCCCGCCCCCCAGACGGTCCAGCTGTTGCCAGGCCATCTCCTCTCCACCAGCAGCTCAGGGGCCGCGACCGTCATCCAGGGCCCCCCGGCAGCGGGACAAGTTACATTCACCGTGGTCCCCAACACTGGCTTCCCCTCCTCCTCCACTGCTGCTGCTGTCAGTCAGGGTGCCGTGGCGCCTGGTGTTCCCCCTCCTCCATCCTCTACTGCCTCAGTGCCCCCCCACGCCGCAGCAGCTCAGCCACTGCCAGCTCCCCTCAGAGGAGACAAGATCATTTGTCAAAAGGAGGAGGAGGCCAAGGACGCCACGGGGCTGCACATCCACGAGAGAAAGATAGAGGTGATGGAGAACTCCTCGTTGGGAGAAGGCAAAACCAGTAACGGCGACGTGGCGGGAGGCGCCAAGCTGCTAAATGGTAGGAAGTGCATGGAGTCTAATCTACCTTCATACCACTCAGGGAACAGCCAGGAGGCGCTCAATGGCCCGACAACGGAGGCACACCCTGCTAATGGTAAGCAGGCTCTCTCCCCCAGCACCAACCCTCTGGAGGGAAACCCCGACCCCAAAAAGACCCTCGTCAACGGGGTGTGTGACTTTGATCGGGTAGACGGTGGTGGTAACTTAAGCAAAAACATTCCAAATCACATTGCTTCCAAACAGTACTTTGGGAACGGGCAGGTGGGCCCCACTGAGAAGAGTCACGGGTCAGACCCCCTTCCTCCTAGTCCTCCGCCCCCCCAGCAGGACATTGCCAAAGCCCAGCAGGCCGAGCGCCTCGCTAACGGACCCCAGGCAGTAGGCAACAGACCCCCCTCGGAATTAACCAACGGACCTATGGGGCCAGGCCATAACGTGCCTGTGCTTAGGCAGCAACTGCTCCCCAGCTCCACCCTCCCCCCCACCGTCACTGTTACCTCCCAGGGTCCCGCAAACGGCATGCCCTCAGAGGCTCGGGGTCTCAAGAGGCCGGCGGAGAGCGAGGACCGCAGTGCAGCGGCGGCGTCCTCGGGGATCCCCAACAAGGTGGGGGTGCGGATCATCACCATCAGTGACCCTAACAACGCGGGCAGCAGCTCCACCATGGTGGCGGTGCCAGCAGGAACAGACCCGAGCACAGTAGCCAAAGTAGCAATAGAGAACGCCGCTCAGCAGAGGAACTGCTCGCCCACGCTGACGGCCGGCCTCACGGTGAGTCTCGCAGATACCACACTCCTAATGTCACCCAAAGTGTCAGAGGAATGAGTGAGCATGATAAACCAATGTTTGCTCGTCTAGTTTACCAACTGCTTTTTGTGTAAAGAGATGCATAGACACTCAGCAGACATATTATATGTTGCTTTCACGGTCCAGCAGACTGTTCCCCGTCCTTTTATACATTTGTGTATCTGCGGTGTCTGCCATCGCACAAACTGTGAAATGACTATGGCAACCTAGTCAGTTATTTACGGAAACATGGTAATCAACAACGCATTCAGATTTGGCGTCCCTTACTCAGTCAGGCTCATACATCAATATAGTTTCAGACAGTTGGTTAGAATACCGTTTTTTTCAGATCATTGGCTATTATAAAATCCCCTACAGGTTTCTGAAGACCCTTTTTATTACAATACATAATCAGTATTAGTTTGGTATGCTTTACTGATCAACTAAGCCAAGTGTTTTAGGGATTTTTCATTCGGTTCTAACGGTTTTCACTACAAAATATAATCAATAATAACTGTGATCCTAAATGCAAAATATCCTACTCGACACCCACCAACACACTTTCCTCACATGAGTATTGTGTGGAGTCTGTGGCGCAGTGCGTTAGTGCGCTGATCTTCGGATCAGGAGGTCACAGGTTCGATCCCCACTGCAGTCTGCATGCCGTTGTGTCCCCCGACAAGTAACATGTAATGGAGGTTAAGAAGGTGATGTCAGTTAAGACCATTTGACTTTCACCGATACCCACCTCCTAAAGCAAATCAGCTGAGAGAACAACTTCTGCCCAGAGTCTGGCCTCGGTTACATCTCAGCCAACACATCATGAATTGTAAAAGTCCTATTTTTATGTCATGGGTTTATAATATATCAAATATCTCATACATTTATTTGCTATTTTCTCAGCCTGCAGTAACGCCGCCTGTATCGCAGCCAGGAGGAAACCACAGCCCAGCACAGCAGAGCCCCGCAGCCCCCCCGGAGCAGCCCAGGAAAGCTGGGCACAACTTCAAGTGTCTGTGGCAGTCCTGTAAACGGTGCGCGTCTCACACATCCAATCAGATTTCTCCTCGTGTAAATGGAGCTTTTTGCTGATAACTTCTGCTTTCTTCTCCAGGTGGTTTGAAACGCCGTCTCAGGTGTTTTACCACGCAGCGACGCAGCATGGTGGGAAAGGCGTATATGGAGGCCATTGTCAGTGGGAGGGGTGTGAACCCTTTCCCCGGCAGAGACTGTCCCTGATCACACATCTACAGGTAACACTCCATCCGCTTTCCCCGGATTGTAGCCGCGGATGTTTGCTCAGCGTTTTTGTACCATTACCATGTCGTAAAATCCTAAAACAAGATGTTTATTTTCCTGCTCTTTCTTTTTCCAGGATAAGCATTGTTCTCGAGAGGCTTTACTGGCTGGACTCAAACTAGAGGAGCAGCAGGCACAAAGTCCCAATCAGACTACTTCCCAGTGCGTACACATTTCATTATTAATCTCCACACGACATTGATGCCTAACAAAACACTGTATTCTTGTTTTGGTCATTTTCATAAGCATGGGGACTGGTTTGTGGAAGGGAATTGGCACAGAACGAATCAGAAATGCTGCATTACAATTTCCGTGTTTGACTGTTGTCTGTGCTTGATGCATTGTGAAGGACTCCGCCAGCGGCAGGCAGTACTCCGACACCGCGACCACCGAAGGCCATCGTGAATCATCCAAGCGCAGCTCTCATGGCTCTTCGTAGAGGCTCTCGAAACCTGGTCTTCAGGGACTTCACTGTGAGTAAAACAAGCTGACCTATTCTTCAAAGTCACTCTTGTATGAAAGCTCCTAGTTGGCCATGGTGGACGTTATTACCTTTCCTGATCATCCTAATTCTTGAATATTTTCTGTTTGTTTCCTCTCCTAGGATGAGAAAGAGGGACCAGTGACCAAACACATCCGACTAACTGCTGCCTTAACGTTAAAGAACATCGCCAAGCACTCTGACGGCGGTCGCATGTAAGTGTAGCGCGGAGTGAGACTGCTGTTTGTTCCTTTCGTATAGTTGTCTATAGCAAATCTATATCCTGGTTTGGTGAAGATTCAGATATGGCAGTTTTAGTGCTTTCAAATGTTAGACATTTCTTGTAAAAATGACTTGTGGAACCACAAAGTACACTTTATTTTTCATGTGTAGAAACCTTTTAAGTTCTGTAAGCCACAGGACATGACTGCTTCCAATTCATAAGAATAAGTCTCCTAGCAACTAGGGAAGCGAAAGCAATAGCATTCAAGTAATGTCTGGAGAGGAGAGTGTCTGGAGCCATTTCAAAAAAAGGAGAAGGCGCACATTGCACCTTTTTTCAACAAATTGTGTCAGAGGTGATTTATCCATGTGTTAGTGTTGTTCTGGATTGCATTGTATTGATAGAGGAGTTTTTTTTATCACTTCTTGTAGAGTTTTTTTTTTTTTTGGAATGTAGCAAAACAATCTTAACTTTGTGTTTCCTCTCCTTGTCTCTCAGGTTGGTAAAGAGGCATGAGACGCACCTCTCCGTGCTCGCGCTAAGTAACATGGAGGTTTCCACCACGCTCGCCAAATGCCTTTATGAACTGACGCGCGCTCTCCAGGCTTAACGCCAAAAGGACAAGCTCAACAACCCCCCCACAAACCTCTCCTCCTCCGGAGCCCAGAGGAGGAAACCACCAGTGAGCCGTAGCGGGTCTGCAGGGGGAGCGGAGGGCAGGAACCCGGAACAACAACAACAACAACCCTCTTGCCAACCCCCTCTCATCCCTAACCTCCTTCCTGCCGCATCCACACACACTCACAAATATAAACTGCCACGGGGTCTTCCACCAGCTGCCCACCAGGGGGGGCTCTTTAAGACTGCTTCCCTGAGGGACTCTACCGACGAAACCCTAAAATACGAGCACATTTTCCTTACGGTTTTTTGTTAATTTTATTTTCCTCTTGGTCTCGTGAACTGATGTGTGCGTTGGAATGAGTGGCGGTCGACTGAAGAGGACGGATTGGAGCGAAGGGGGCGGGGCTAATGTAGGACTCTCACCGATTGGTTGGAGGAGGACTAAGCTGGCAACCGGCGCAGATTTAGAAAAAAAAAATCTTTAGGAACTTGGTAGCTTGGTTTTCTTACTTGAGTCAATATATTTTCACTTATTTATTATTGAAATGAATACCATTACAATTAATGAAAAAGAATCTTGTAAATATGTTGTGAATATATATAAAGAAGATCCTCTTTGATGCCGATGCAGCCACTGGAGAACTTGCTCTGTGGAGTAATAGAAGCATTACTTTGGTAGAATTGAATAAAGTAGTATGTTTTTTGTTTGTTTTGCTTTTTTTTATGATCCCTGGTCACTTGTATCTAATGTGATTCTATACTCAGCAGTGGATGAATGTAATTAAAAACCTGTAAATAATTCTGCAAAGGTACTGATGCTGTAAAGCTTAAGGAGGGGATAAAAACAGTTTTTTGTGGAACTGTGACATTTTTTGTATAATAATACCTTGTAGAACTCATTTTGCTGGCTGAAAGAGTATGGAATAATATATCTCATGTCATTTTGTAGAAGAAAAAAAATATTGAAGGTATTCTCTTCCCTTCCTCTTCCCTCACAAGCCCCTCCCCCCTCCTCAACACGCACACACACGTAACATTTATCCACTGTAAGCATTTTGTCATTGTACGGGCACAGTGCGCGTACCAAAATTGTTTTGTATTTGTAAATTGGTTTAAATACATGGAGTTTTTATACAGGTTTTCTCCTGTGTTCTTTGCTTTATGTGCAGGTATGATATTTTCTTCACTACTTTTTTCTATCTTAATATAGTGTGGAGTTTTATTGTACTATTTTTTCATTCTTAATACCATGCCACATTCCGGCTCACGTCCTCAGACTGTCCTCTCTACCGTGTGTTGTGTAACATTTCTGACTGCCTGTCGTATTAGCATCTGACCGGGGCGACCCCACCATCCTCATTTCTGCGGTGTCGGTAGGATGTGTGACTATACATAGACCTAACAGTCTGTTAGAGATTGGCTTTATTTACTTTGGTGACTGTTTATAGTTTTTAAATAAAACACTGAACATTTTGCTCTGGTTTTATGCTTGTTTTTGTGTCTCTTGCAATTTGTCCCACTTTCTCTAACCAGGGGACATGGCTCTTAATCCATTTTATGAGGAGAGAAAGGATTGCAGCCTTTTTAGAAGATTTCATGGGGAAATATTCTGTTGCTGAATGATGGAAGGCCAACAAGATTTCAGGTTGGTAATGAGTTTATCATGCATAGTTTTGCATTGCGGAGTTTGCTATGTGTCGGGAATGGTTTCAGACTACACAGTAATAATTATGTGCGTAGAGAGGGACCGTTGAAGAAGCGGATAGAAAAACTTGAGAATGTAGAATATAAACTTGAAGTAAACACTGATAGTAGTGATGGGATTAAGGTATTATGTTCACTGTAAGAGATACATAGTGCAATAAGGAGGGGGTAATACTGCCCCTTGGAGGGATGACCTGGAATATAAAATATTTAAGCATATGGAAGATGCATTGGAGGAGATCTTGGCTCTTATATAAATAATTTGTTCAATGACTGAATTAAATAATTCGAAAAGATGAATGTATGATGCAGGCATTCGGGGCACTACGTTGAATTGGAGGATAGTAAATAACATTAGTTATGGACCCTTTTTGTTCAAAAGTTCCATTAGTGACACCAGCATCTAAAGCGCTAAATGGAATTTGGCTATAGTGTATTTATAATTTTGTACACAAGGGCTTTTCTTTTGTGACATATCTATGCTGTCCCCCATGAAAAAGGCCTTTTAATGCATATATGTCCTTCACCAATGTATATGTCTTTGGGTTAAAGGAAAGAGCTAAACAAACCTTATGATGTATTTGGAATGCCATGTGATAAAATGGAACACAATTTAATAAAAGGCAAAACGTTAATTTAACTAGTTGGACCATTATGCAAAAATACATGTAGTTGAACCTCTAAAAAGGTACTGCAAAATATAGTGTTTTAATTTAAATAACGTTCACTGCTCCATTATGTCCATGTAGTATAGGCAGCTGTTCCATCTGTTGCTGCCAGTCTATGGTCGCAGCATTTGCCTTGTAATAAATCAAATCCGCTCTTCGGTGTAATGCTCGGCGGCTCCGCTGGGGGGCGCCAGCGGCTCCAACTCTCAGCCCCACAGACCGCGAGACATGTGGCTGAGACTTTCTGAATTCTACGCTCCGTTTTTAGCCAAAACAATCACCGAATCGTGCTATTCGTCAGCATTTCATTGCAGGTGCTTGGAAAACCAGTTTACCAGGTGCACGTCAGCTTCAGCAACACTTAAAGGTAAGTAACGAGACTTACCGCTAGCTAACTGGAGCTAAATGCTAGCAAGCTAAAAGCGACGCAAGAAGGTGCTGTTGTTCAAACCAGCTAGATAGCTCTGAGCTACATTGAGAGCTAGCTAGCTAACTTGTGACCTTCAGTGCAATAGCTGTGACTAATATTATAAAGTATTTTCTGCAGTGCTAACAACAACAACACGCTAGCTCTTGCGTGGCTGTGTTTTTAGCTAGCTATAGCTGTCTAGCTAACCAACAACAATCATGTTGTCATCGTCGTGTTGGCACTGGTTGATCAAGTTGGGCTAATTTTATGTCTCCTGCAGCCAGGCCGTGCTGGCGCCGAACGGCAACAAGCTTCAATAACTATCTGCCCGCTAGCCCTCATCTATCATACAATGTAATGTGCATTTACAGAATAATGTTATGTGGCGTTGGGCTTTTGTTTGAGAATTTCAGGTGTACTAGTTATTCTGTTGATGGAAACATTATAGTGACAGTTTTAGCACAAGGCTAGTGACTAATCGCCTGTGTTTGGAAATGAAACCGTGGGTATGAGTCTGTTGAACAAGTTTCACATTTGAAGATCTACATAATGAAATTGATGAAGCAAAGAATGGTTCCAGATCAGATATCATTATCAGTTTAAGTCTCAAGTTAAGGCTAGAAGTCAGCTGGATATATGTTTGTTCATCAAGACTCTGGAGGTAAATAACATTCAGGTTGACAACAAAACTGGAAGTAGTAATCAGAGTTGATCACAGATCTGGTTAGTAGCTCTGTGGTTTTAGACCACTTACTAAGAGTAAGTGAGTCAGACTATAAATCATTTCAAATGTTTCAAGTTCACTCAATTATATCATCCCTACATATGGATTTGTTTTAAATTATGAGTAGTATGATTTATAATATTCTCAAACATTGAGCAAAATACATTTTAGAAACTACCCATCCCATAATGTTTCCAAGAAAAAGTGAACAAAATATATTTGTTTTGCCAACTCATGGTCAAATTTCCTTAAATTGTTATAACTTCAAATTAGGGGATCCTTTTCAATTATGCTTTAAATGAGTCTGCAAATTACTAATTAAAAAAAAGCAAATGGGTTTTGAGCAGATTTTCTCAAAAGACATACATTTGTTGATTATTGCTGATTAATTAAGTAATCACCATTTCAACCACAAGTGTCATATCCAAAGGAGATGGCAATGTGGCTTTATTTCTGGAGAGAGAAAAGTCCACGCTTTTCCTTGTGGATGTCCAGTCAGTGCAAGCAGTACATTCTTCGGTCTGTGCTATATTGACAGAGAAAGCGGAATCTCACTCCTACCCAGTCGACGGGTCCTACATGTACCTACAGTACCGGGACTTCTGATTTTTACCCATCTGGTACCGTTACTTCTTACTGAGTACCGGCACGGTGCCGGTACTCTGTAGATGCGTCATGAGGTGCCGCCGCCGCTGCTTTGCCCGCCTCGCCCCCGGAGCAGCCGTCTTCGTCGCCCCAAACACTGCCACCCCTCGGCGGCCCGCAAGTGCCAGAGGACCTCGGCAAAACAGAGCCTGCCCAGGTATATTTAAACAAGTTCCCAACTCGCCTGTACAGTGGGGTAAGGCGCTCATTTTGCAGCTCATGGTTTCAAAACAGAGATTGGCTGGAATTTCCTGTAAAAAATATGCCATCTTCTGCTATGCATGTAGACATTTCGGTTCAAATACATCTAACTAAGATGCCTTCACCACAGTTGTACCCGAGTACCAAACGCTGTCTCCTGGTACTCATCTGAGTAACTCACTAAAAATGAAATACTATATGACAGTAAAACAAGAATAGAGTTTAAAAGGGGAGTGATTGGTAAAATATCCATAAAGAAATAGAAAATCTGTTTACAGTTCTGTGTCATATGGATGTTGAGAGATGTATCCATAGATCTCTTCATTTGGCTCTCAAAATGCACCAGATCGATGCTTTTAACTTGAATATACATTTTTGTTTTGCTTTAGATCCACTCCCCACTTATAAAAATAGCACTTTACCCCTGCACCCCCTCTAATCTCAGATGCACCCTGAGTCATTTTGTTTAACTACAATGAGCCTTTCTAATAGCGCTTTGAGAGTCATTGATAAAGCGCTATAATAAATATAAGGATTATTATTATTTAATACAGTAAAGAGACAAACCCACCAGCATGATAGGATATACTATGACTTTGATGCCAAATTCTTGTTTTTGGGCTGTATAAATAAATTGACTTGAAACAGTTGCTGATTTAGAGTACTGGCACCTTTTTTATTCCAATTTAAGCACCGCATGTACCAGGATGCATTGGGAGCGAGCTTCAGACGCCCAGGGTCCCTGCCTGCTGTTTCCTCTTCAGCCTCAGCCTCTCTCCTCTGTATTTCTTTGGCCGTGGACTTTTGCTTGGACAGTGGACACATATGGCTGAATATCCGAGTCAGCACAAATGCTTTAAAATGTATCCTGGTCCATCACATCCTTTGCATCTCGGGATACCACTTTTGTGAAAAGTACAGGACAAATATCTTCCTAGCATCATTTAGAGCAGGGTTGTCCTAACATTTTTCACCGAGGGCCACATACTGAAAAATAAACACACAGCTCTCCGTAGGGTTTCATTTATTGTGTTGGCAGCTCATTCCTTAAAACAGGAGGCTCAGATTACTTATAGTAAGAGGAAATATTAAGGGTATATTTCAAGGTTGTTATGTAAATGTCGGGCTTTTTTCTTATCAACTAAGATTGGTTAGACCTTTTTTTTGACTGAATTTATTGAAAAATGTGGCTTAATAACACATGAATACTGTGTTATATATTTAAGAACTACAATAGCAGATGTTTAATTTGTGGGCCATATTTCATTATACTTTTTGAATTTGTTGAGGGCCGATTCAAAATGGGCCGCATTTGGCTGTAGTTTGGACACCCCTGATTTAGAGGCACCCAGACGTTGAGACCAGAAATCCAAGCTTAAGCAGTTTGTAGTTCTTCCTAGCATACAACTACGTCACCCGGAATGACAGTGCTGAATGCTGTACCTGCTCAATCAATACATCGTGCACTGAGGCATTTATTGCTTCTACCGACTGCATTCATTATCATGACTGATTTCAGAGGCTGAGCTAAACGCAAACATGCAGGCAGGGCTCTCGACTAACTTTTTTCACCATCCTCCCGGAACCGTTCCGAAATGCAATCTAAGTCGTCCCGAAATTAATGTGGACCGTCCCGAATTTAAAATGTTAGTTTTTCTACATTATCATTAGTTAAAATCATTCAAAGTGACCTTTAACATAAATAAAACATCATACAAATCATTAGATGATAATTCATCAACCTTTTTATTTGAGTAAATCATTCAATCACATAAACAAAGGCCAAATATATTTAAACCAGGGGTGGGGAACCTTCGGCCCCCGGGCCGTATATGGCCCGCGGGACCATTTGGATGGCCCTCGAGGTAATTTATAAACACACGCAAAAAATTAAAGAAATCTAGACCGCAAAATAATTAAACAAGCGAGTGCCTGTTTTTCCTGCAACGGTCATGGTCCTTGAACACAACACGAGCCTAACGTGTCATCACGTGGTATATGTCTCGTCTGACAGGGGTGCAGTTCTGACGGAGAGCACCAGAACGCCGCTCCGGGACTTCAAAAATTGCAGTAGGCCTACCCATAAATCCGTACACATGCCGCAGTTTTTGCGTGGCTGTGTCTTTAGTTGAAAGCCCAGTGGCGATCTGTTCATCTGTCATACTGATCATACAGTCAATAACTTTGTTGTTATTAGCATCTGGTTAGCTAGCTATGCTAATGAATATAAGAAGCTTTTTCTCCAACCAGTGAGGTAAAGGCACATCTGTTATGATCATTATAGTTATAAAAAAACAAGAGAATAAAGTAAACAGGTATAAAATACTATATGACAGTAAACAAAAGTTGTTATTAATAAACAAGAATAAAGTTTGAAAGGGGAGTGATTTGTAAAATATCCATAAAGAAAAAGTTAATCTGCTTACAGTTCTGTTTCATATGGGTGTTGGGAGATGTTTCCATAGATCTCTTCATGTTGCTCTCAAAGTGCACCAGATTGATGCTTTCAACTTCAATATTTAAAAAAAAATCTTCCCGGGAGACACGGACCCCCCTAGAGGAGGTTAGGTCCCCCCCACTTAAATAATGTCCACATGGATAGGAAACTATATACATTTGCACACATCTTGTATCCATATCTTTCTGTTTGGTGGTCATGCCACACCGTGCACGTGCATGCATGCGCGAGTCATGGCAAGATATCTGGACTAAGAGGTTGCTTTTTCTTTGCACAGCATGAAAGAAAGGCCAAATGAATGGGCTGTGATTTTTAAGCAGAGGTCAATAATTTGTACGGCCCTCGGAGGATGTTGAAAAAATTGAAATGGCCCTTGAGAGGAAAAAGGTTCCCCACCCCTGATTTAAACAAACACACAAACGAGACAATTACTCTAATATTGAATCAAGTCCCATCCAATTAACAACAGAATCCAACACTCTGTCCTGAAGACAGAACCCAGAGTAACCACTAACCAGGATGACAGTCTGTAACACAGTCATGAGACCTTTACAAACGGCCCCGCCCCCTCGCACACAGACGGGAGAGAGAGATCTCGTCTGGATTGGAAAGATCGAAAATACATCATAGACGCATGTTGTAGTATTATTGCATATTAGAAACGGAGTTGGCGAAACTAAAACTGCAATATAATGTTTATGTAGCAATAATACATATGACATATATTTTTTAAATGTCTCCAGTACCGATAAAAAGTCCGATAACGTCGGAGCTTAACGTTACCACTGTCTTTAATAATTCCGGCCCGGGGCCCGTTTAATACCGGGGCTCGGTACCCATCCCTACATGGGGAGAGACAGCATATTGCTAAGGACTAAATACGATGGAGGGTTCTCTTCTCAGCCTTATTACCCATAGGGGATGAAGAGGAGTAAGTAAATAAAGAGGCCGGCGCTCCAGGGTCTGGTTCTGCTGTGCGTTTTTGTGATGTAACGGTAAAACATTTCAGAATTCCTCCACGGGATGCCATTGTTCATCACTCAACCCGCGAAATACACACACTCAGTACATAGCTAGACCCACGAATTTGCGGGCCAGGAATTCACGGGCACAGCTGGGACGTCCTTAAGCTCGAGCCCTGCATGCAGGAAACAAGCGATCACTATCCTGGTACCAAGGATGAAATGCATCAGGTGCATCTTGAGAGCAAAATAAATATGTTAAATCTGTAATATTTGAGGCCTCTGTACATCTGGTAGCCTTCGCAGCGATCCACTTCAGGTGTCCGGGCCATTTTAAAGCCACTCTTGCAAAATAGGAGGGAAACACAGTGATTGCCAACCACTGGTCCTGTAGTAAATGTAAACGGGACAATCTAACAGGTTTCAAATAACTTTAGACTTTTACAGTATTTTCTTTCATGTCTTTGAATTACATTTTCCTGAGGGCTGAACAAAATGACAACAAAGTGCACATAATCAGCTCCTGTCATTTGCGTCACAGTCACCTTCTCCTCTTCTTTGTTTTGCAGTGATCAGGTGAGCCCGGGGCAGACATGACTGGAGCTGGAAGTGGTGAGACTTTACACACTCAAGGGTGTTGTCGGGAAAACGTTGGGATATCTGTTGCATGAGCAGTATGAATGATCAGTTGTAGTTTAACATCCCTACATTGCTAAAGCTGGATATAAGTGCAGCTTACTTCTGCTCACACTAAGTAGAAAACATCAATCATTTCAAACTTGTGTTGGTGTTTAGGAGGCCAGGGCCCGCCTGATGGGGGGGACGCTGAGGAGGCGGAGAGGTGTCCCATCTGCCTCTGCGTCCTGGCTGGAGGCGAGCTCGCCGTGCCCGACAGCTGCTGCCACGTCTTCTGCCTCAGATGTCTCCTCACATGGGCAGAGGTGACTATCAGTAACAACTGATGATGTGAATTATACAATTTGTTGTATAGTAAAAAAGGCTCTTAAGACCTATATTTATTTTTTACAGTAATTGTTCTAAAAGTATTTTCTAACTGTTTGATTCATTTTGTAGTTGCAGATGTCTCCGTCCTGCCCGGTGGACAGAAGACCTTTCACTAATGTTTACAGATGGGACGGGAATCTCAGCTGTGTGCAGGTGCGTCTGCCTTTTCTCCGTCACAGTTATAATACATCTGTGGTTCAGAAGAGGCCAGTGGCTGCTGTTGTTTTCCTAATCCAACAATTTGTTTAAAGGCAGTAATGTTAGGATTATACCGCTGCAGTTTGTTATCAGAACATTCAAAGTTTGCCGAGCCGGTTATTGAGCTCACCAGTTTTCACCCAGCTTTTGGAACAAGCGTTGCACCCTTGTATTTGTAATTTGTATGTCGGTGTCTGCCATTTTGGTAGCTTCCTCATGGACGGCTGCCTTTGACCCGGCACCCAATTACAATTTATATATGCAGTTGTTTGATTTGGAGAGGTTGTTTTGGAAAATATCATATTCATTGAGCCTGTCAGTCGTTTTAGCTGTTAAAAGACAGTATATGATGGAATACATACAATCTGTTCTTGACTTTTGTAAACAAAGCCAGGTCTGACTTCTATGACGGGCACAGTTTTGCAAATTGTGGCCCCCAAAATGAAATGTGCTTCTTTTCGTTGTTCGAAGGTTCCTGTGAGGAAACGTGCGACTCAACCCGAAGCTGAGCGTTGCTACTGTAGAAACCCCGAACAGAAAGTCTGTCTCAAGTAAGTGTCAACACGTTTTTTTTCTTACAATCAAATGGTTAGCCGGTCTCAAAGGTCTTTACAGAGAAATGACTTAATAGGATATCAATCATTAATCATGGACGCCTCATGATCTCATGATCTCTAATGTAACTATGAAATCCGCTTGAGAATCATTTCGTTTTTGTTTCTTTTCAGAAGTAAGGCTGCAAGAAGACTGAGACGGCAAAAGGTGGAGAGGACGGCTGACGCTAAAACGAAAGGTCTTGTTAGGAAATGTAACGACGATGGCCACTCCTCACTGAGCAGAAAAAAGGTGTTTTTCATGACTTCCTTTTTTGTAGTTGCCTTTTTTGTGTTGCCTTAGAGTGTTTGAGTCTCATCAGCTTTCATATGATTTCAGGTGAGAGGAACAGAGTGCTGCGCTTGGTCATCGTCTCCATGTGTCTCAATAACAACACCATCCACGGAGCACATGTAAGCTTCCCTCAGTGATGAGTTATTATATAACTCCATGGATTATGTTAAATAATTCAAGATTGACCAGAGTCTGAGTCATCTTGTTGTACTTTCTTTGTGCTGCCTTCTGAACTGTTCTGTTCTGCTCCTGCAGGGCAGAGCCTGTGTGGGAGGACGTCCCGTATGACAGCGTAATGACACAGTGTAAAGCTCAGGCGCAGGACTGTCCGTGGCTCTCTGCTGCGGCGCCCATCCCTGCTAACGGCCCCTTCAGGTAATGACATCCCAGCTGAGCCCTGACGCTGCTCCTATGGCTGCTGCTGTTATGAAGTGTTAACGCTAAACAAGTTCTCTCATTTATGTCCAGTTTAATTTAAGTGGCACCAGAGTAAGATATATATATACAAAGAAAAATTGAAAAGGAGTAACACCAGATTCAGGAAGATGTGATTTGTTTTGTAAGTCTTGCTTTGAGAGCCAGGTGGAACAAACTGAAGAAAGGGGCTTCAATCTTTATGTTTAATGATCATTTGGCACAGTATCTGCACAAGGTCTATTCAATCTGACAGGCTTTTATAGAGACCTCGATCAACCTATATGAAATGAGTGGCCGATTGATCAGAAAGGGAAGGCTTACTGTTGCTGAATAAGCCTCTCTGCCTGTTGGGGAGTCAGTTATCCAATGGTTACACGGTATTCCATTTGGAGCTACAGTTATCAGTAATGTTCCAAGAAACAAGGATTTAATAAATGTTCTATGAGGAAAGACATTAAACTTGATGTCTCTGTCTGCACTGTAGCACAACTCCTGTGACAGTTGCATGTGGACAAGTCGCGCAAATGTTACGAAAATATAAACCTGCGGCGGAAATCCCTCTAGTGACTTGAAATATTTAAAATTGTTAAAAGTTAGACCTATCTTATCTACGCCTGGAACTAGCTAAACTACTTATAAATGTTTATTATTTACTGTCATGTTGGGTCACTCATTCACTGGATCAGCGAGCTGCATGAGACACAGATGGGCTGTCAGGAGAGGGAGAGGAGAAGAGTGGCTCCGTTTATTAAAGTTACTGTAAACTTCTGCATAATGTAGTAACTACTAGTCTGTCAAAGGGAGAATCTAGTAATTTCTTCGTGCAATGTTAGTAACTATAGTGTGATTACTGAATTTATAACAGTAACGCGTTATATTACTCCGTTACCGACAAATGTAATTTTATTACAGTAACGCGTAACACCCAACACTGATCGGCTTGACAGGGGACAACATTAACTGCAGAATATTGTCTGTGTTCATTGTTTGTTTCATATAGGTCATAATACTTTTTTTAAAGCACAACCTAACTTATGTAATATTTAATATAATATCTGTCCAACCGGGCACATACATCACTCCTGTCCCTCTGGCACTTCTGCTCAAATCTAGTTTCTTAAGTTTTACAATTTCGCACAGCTGAATACTCGATTCTGATTGGTCGCCCTGCTAGGATTATAGCAGACCATTGCTATGGACGATTTGATCAAGGGACGTAGTGCAGTCACATCAATCCGCAGAAAGAAATCCAATGAACACAATGTTAGCTGTTGCAAAACAAAAACACATACTTTTTCTGTTACTCCATCACAATACATCAAGAAATCTACAAGAATACGGCGCAAGAGAAGAAAAGAGGTTAAAAGAAACGGAGAGAGAAATCAGTACCCCTGTGTAATAAAATGAAGAAGATCTAGAAATACAGAATAAAAATGGCAAGCAGGAATAAGTTGTATTATGCAGTCGCTGAAAGAAAATTCAATTAACTCTAACTGTTTGGCTTTTGTAATTGACAGAGAAGTAATGGATGGGATGGTATCTTTTGACCTAAATAGTTTTTGCGTGTGTATATTTCTCACTTTACAGGCAAAGCTTCCATCCATCCGGTTGGAACCAGAGCCCGTTTCCATCTCCCTTTTCCTCCCCGTCTCCTTGCGGCCCCGGTCATTTCGGTGAGTCTATAAAAAGGATGTACGGCTCTTTTTCTGCTGTAACAACGTACGTTTCCCATCTGTGGGACTAATGAAGGGATTCTGATTCTGATAAACGAATGAATACCGTTTACCTGATTTATAATGGAAATGTTTGGCCTCTGTACCTGTAAATGCTCATGGTTTCTCTCCCGCAGTGTTTCAGGGTGTTGTCTGCGCCATCACGTGTCCCAAAGGAGGCGAGAAGAGAGGCGGGCGAGCTTCAACCTCCAAAGCTCCCACCAAAGAGGCCAAGTCTCTACCATCCCGGCGGTCCGGACGCAACAGTAAGAGCCAGGAAGAGGCTCCTGTGTCTGACCTTTCATCACCGCCGCAGCCCTCTTCGTCTGACTCTGACTCGGCCCCCTCACAGCCCACCAAGCCGGGCAAGGCCTCGCAGACACCGGCAAAGAAGAAGGGAAAACAGGTCACAAACCGGAAGGCCGGCGGGAAAAGGAAAGCCGCGCCAAGGAAAAAGAAATCTGCCCAAGTCGTGAGCAGTCCCACGGCAAGTGAAGACGAGGAGGAGGAGGAGGAGGAGGAGGCAGATGGGTGCGACAACGCCGAGAAGGAGGAAGAAGAGAAAAAAAACTTGGATCAGCAACAGTCTGATGCTGAGGGGAGTCTAAATGAAGACCACGACACTATCGACTCCCCTAATGAGCGAGGAGGCGCTGAACCCTCCGGGAACGACGTGGGGCTGGACAGTGACGAGACTCAGGAAGAGTCTAATGAACAGAAACCAGACTCGGCTCCATACAGCCCCGGTTCCTGCTCCGAGGGCGAACAGAGCAAGAGGGAGGAGGAAGAGCCAGCAAGCCCCGCGTCCTCTGGAGGAGACATCTGTGGCAAAAGTCCTCCACCGTCACCTTCTGACTCGGAGAAAAGTCCTCCACCGTCACCCTCTGACTCGGAGAAAAGGCGCTCACCGTCACCCACTGAATCAGAGAAAAGGCGTTCACCGTCACCCACTGAATCAGAGAAAAGGCGTTCACCATCACCCTCTGAATCAGAGAAAAGGCGTTCACCCTCACCCTCTGGCTCGGAGAAAAGGACTTCTCCATCACCCTCTGACAACGCTCTGCTGGGCGACCTGATGTCCCCGCACGGTGATGACCAGGATGACGACATGGAGATTTGTGCGGCCTCAGTAGAAGCCAACAATGAAGATTCTTCAAAGGAGGCTGAATCATGTGAGAATTCTCCACAACCGGCCTCCGACTCGCAGAACAATCCAGATGTTCCAGAATCAAAAGCCTCTGACGAAAATGATTTGAAAGCATCGGGGTCAGAAGAGCCTTTAGTAGACGACAGCTCAAGGAAGGGAACCGAGGATGACACTGAGGTTGTGCCCATGGACTGCAGTTCCCCCACGATGGAACATAGCAACAGTCCGAAGGAGGGGGACGCCTCAGCCGCGGCAGAGCCTCCTGCTTCTGAAAGCCAAGTCGCCAAGGACAAAAGTGGCAAGGACCAACGGGAAAAGAGCCGGGGGAGAGAAAGGAGCAAGGATAGAGAAAGGAGCCAGGAGAAGAAAAATGGCAAGCAGCGGCGCTCTCGCTTCCACTCCCCATCCAAGGCCTGGTCACCAAAGAGGGAATCAAAACGAGAAGGGTCCAGGCGATCGCGCTCCCGCTCCAGAGAGCGAGACGGCAGCCCGCCCTCTAGCCGCTCATCCCGGGCCCGCAGCAGAGAAAGAGACCGAGACCGGGACGGTGAGAGAGACCGAGACGGTGAGAGAGACCGAGACGGTGAGAGAGACCGGGACGGTGAGAGAGACCGAGACGGTGAGAGAGACCGAGACCGGGACGGTGAGAGAGACCAGTCTCGGAGGGAGCGCAGCCGTGAGAGGAGGAGGCGGCGCTCCAAGAGTCGATCCAGGTCCAGCTCTCAGTCCAGATCACGATCCTACAGACGAGGGGCCAGCCCCGAGCGGCCGGCCTCCAGAGAGCAGTCTCCCCAGAGGAGGGAGCGTAGGGGCGGGTGGAGGTCAGGGCAGGGCAATGGGTCCGGGGGCGAGGGACGGAGGAATCAGAGCGACGCTGGGCAGGCTGAAAATGGCGTGCCGGCAGAAAGTTCCCCTGAGCGCAAACCCTGGTCGGAAAATCCTGACTGGGTTACAGAAAAGAGTCGGAGTGATGCCGAAAGCAAGAGTGGGGGCTCACGCTGGGAGGACCGTGGCGGGAACAGAGGGTCACGGGGGGGAGGCAACCGCAGCTTCAACAATTCAGGGACTGACGCATACAGCCGCTTCAACGAAAACCGGGGCGGTGGCCGGAGGAAAGAGTCCGATTCCGGAGACTCGATGCTCGACCGCTCAGGCTGGTCGTCGGCGTCCAGCTGGGCGGTCAGAAGGAAACTACCCGCAGACGTTCAGGATTATTACTCCAAGAGGGAGAGGGGAGGACCAGGAGGCTGGAACCGACAGGAGGAGGAGCAGCCGGGGGCAGCAGCAGGTCAGACTCTGCTCAATTTCTATGACAACCACTTCTTTATCTCAAACACTAGTGCTTGAGGAAATGAAAATGTAAAAGAGAAAGTAATGAGTCAGTTAAAGTTCCCTCTTTTATCTGAACAGTAGTCATGGATTAATGTTCTCTTTGAGGCTAGCAGAGGAAGATATTGGTGCTGTAGCTCAGAACTGTGAACAGGCGTAAACCTAGATTACCCTCCGGCATCCACGTATTATTATATTTGAGAAGAAAGAACTATTTATTTATTCCTTTTTAAGACTCAATAGTTTTCTCTAAGGCTAGCAGTTTACATAACCTTTTATTTTGAGCCTGTATCTCCTACACATTTCACTCATTATGAACTCATCTTTATCTCTCCATACATACCTTAGTACTTTAAATCATTTTAGTTTTCCATTAAATTGATAATATGTTCTCAATATAGTTTTGTCTTGTTCTCCAGATGCGACTAAAAGCGATCCTCCCTCCCAGGCGGTCCCGGGTAACGCCCCGGGGCCCGTGATGAACTCGGGTCCTCCTCAGCTCAACGTCCTGCAGCATCACTTCCCCCAGCAGGGCCAGAGGGGGGTGCCGCCCGTCAGCCTGCAGCCTGCAGCAGGGTACGCCATGCCTCCTCAGTACCCCGCCGTACCGCTGCTTCAGGGCCCCTCTGCCGGCGGTCAAGGCCTCCCCCCTCCTCCCCCACCTCCTCCACCCATGCATCAAGGCAGCCAGGGTGCAGCAGCTCATCCCGATGGCTACAACACACAGGTATGACATACTGGCAATTACTAGGGATGCTCCGATCGCCAATTTCGGGGCCGATCGCCGGAATCAGTATCGGCCGATACCGATCGCCGATCCGATCGAGTGGGCGGGGCCTAAATGGAAGATTTAAACATCACTTTAAATCTTCCATTTAAACTCAGTTAATGGGGCTCATTCACTGGAGCTTCCACAAACAACAATCAACTTAATTATTACATTCAAATGATGTACATTATTCAAGTTGACATTAACTTTGGATAATAACACGAGAGAAATGAGCGGAAGCGCTCTCTTTTCCTCTCTCCCTCTCTCTCTCTCCCCCTCTCTCCCTCTCTCTCTCTCCCCCTCTCTCCCTCTCTCTCTCTCCCCCTCTCTCCCTCTCTCTCTCCCCCTCTCTCCCTCTCCTGGCAGCCTGTCAGTATCTCATGCAGCTCACTGATCCAGTAATGAGTGACCCGACAGTGAAGAATACATATATTTATAATGACTAGTTTAGCTTGTTCCAGAGGTAGATAAAATAGCTAAGTGTGTTAGGTCTAACTCTTGTGTGTTTCGCTCCGCTTACCGGTCCGGCGGGCGGAGCTGCAGGATTTCTGCTTCACACACACGTTGCATTCCGCTATTTTACTGTCTTTTTCGGACACCTTAAAATAATGCCAGACCGGTGAAGTCATTTTGGCGAGCTTGTTTTGCCGCACACAGAGAAAAGTGTCATGTATTTTACGTCATGCGATCGGCTCTCGCGATCGGCATGTTTAGAGAGCACCGATCAATCGGTAGAGAGTGAGTATCGGTCGATCTCGATCGGTGACCGATCGATCGGAGCATCCCTAGCAATTAGTGTTAATTTCGTTGACTAAAACTATGACGAAATATGTTCGTCAACGACCTTTTTTTCCATGACTAAAACGAGACGATGACGAGACGGCACCGACGGCAGTAAACAATAACTGTAATGAAATCATCATGCAATATCGTTGACGAAAAGTGACGAGACGAAAATGTAGTTTACTAAATAAAAACTATGCCAAAATCTGTCTTTACTTTCGTTGACGAAAAATGAGGAGACGAAATATTATCAAAGATAACGTTATATTTCTGATAGTCTTTTTCTTCCAGCAGTTCCATTTCCGGTGCTGCCGCAGGGCAGCAGCTGTGTGTCGGGGCAGCAGCTGTGTGTCGGTGCTGCGCCCGGCGGCACATTTGAATTACACCGGGCAGCGGCACACTGAGCTGTCAGGAAGACTCGGGTCTAACTCATGGTCTAACTAACCTTATTTAACAGAAAATAAAATGGCAACAACAGGGCTTGGGAGCAGTGGTCGCGTTAACCGAAACCCCCCGTCCCGTCAGCGCGAGTGAGTGACGCGTTGTGTACAGACTCGACCGGTAATAAAAGATTATGACGGAAATATTACGATCCTGTCCGTCAAAATGACTGACACCGAAAAAGTCTAAAGCCACCACTGCTTGGGAGAAAGAAACGATGTGATATTTGGGCCCATTTTCGCTACGATGAGGCGGAGAAAAAAAGCGAATGCATTGTTTTATCGGAAGGGCCATGAGTATGTGGCCATAACACAGCTGGTAAAAACACCACAAACCTGAGCAGATACTCTGCAAAGCTGCATTCTTAATCATTCAACCTGTGTTTTTCATCAGATAAGGACAAGATATAATCTTATTGTGAAATAAATTTGACTAAAATGACAAATGATTGGTTTTGGCTAGACTAGTTTGACTGAAATGTTCTATATAATCTGATGACTAAAAAACAGTTTTCATTGACAAAAAGTAGACTAAAATAATTAGTTTTCTTTGACTAAAATAAGACTAAAATGCTCAGACTTTTAGTCGACTAAATCTTGACTAAATAAAAACAGGATGAAGGTGACTAAATATGACTAAAACTAAAAAGGAAATTTAACACAGGACTAAGACTAAAACTAAATAAAAAAATAGCTGACGAAATGAACACTATATTTAATAGACACGAATTCTATTCTTAAGAGCATTCCCACAATCATTGTTCTGTCATTTCATCCCTAGATGGCAAGTACAATGGGTTATGGGAAACCTGGCCTACTTCCCACCCCAACCAAAGCTGGTGTTTCCTTAGCGACCTACTGCCAGTCGGCACCCAGCCAGGTGTATCCCTCCTCCACCACTTACACCGGCCAGCAGAGCAAGGCTCACGCTGACGGCTCCAAAAAAGAGAAGGTAACCTACTGCCGGCCGAACACAAACACCTGTTTCTCTTTCTGAGAGAAATACCTGATCTCCTCTCTTTGTTTTAGAAACAACAGATCCAGGAAAGAGCTGTCAATGAAGTGAAAAACGCCATCAAACCCTATTACCAAAAGAATGAAATCAACAAGGATGAGTACAAGGAGATCGTCCGTAAAGCGGTAGAGAAGGTACAAGCTTCACTGAGAATTTCTTATACATGTTATATTGTGTTTAATTTAAAAAGAAGTGTCATTCTAACATGCCTGTCAGGCTACTGAGCTCACATACTCTTTGTTTACGCTAGAGACGAGGCTAAGGGATGTGTTTTTCAAATGTATCACTACTGGTTTCTTAAAAAGCCTTTAGATAATGCACTTCTTTTGGAAAGGCCAAACAGAACCCCTCATGGCCCATCCTATTGAATAGGGACGTAAAACGATAGAGACTCAAGCTTTACAGGATTTGTTTTGAGCGTGTCTGTGATCTTTCCTCAGGTGTGCCACAGCAAGAGTGGTGAGGTGAACTCCAGTAAGGTGGCCATCCTGGTGAAGGCCTACGTGGACAAATACAAGCACGCCCGCAAGAAATGAGGGTGGTCCCGCTGCGGCGTGCAGACGTCCTCACAGACACTCAGCTGCTCAAGTGCAATTTCCTCTGGCTGGAATTGGTTCTCCAAACTGAAAGTCAACGGAGAGCCGACCTTTTCTTTTTTGATATCTCTACCTTTTATTGAACGATGAAGATTTTTTTCTATAGATTTTGATATTTTGTTAGAAAAATAATTACCCAATCAGAAATTGTACTGCAAGAGCCCTTTATTTTGCATAGATCATGTGACTGGGGAACTACTGTAAAGAGCGCAGGGTAGCATGGAGGGGGGGGGGGGGTGCCGGCTGGTAGGATGAGTTCCTCCTGAATGGCATCCTGATCGCATAGCTTAATTAATTGAATATTGTCAATGTTCTTTTTTTAAATATTATATAATATTTCAGATGAAATCCTAGTTTAAAGAACAGTGCATTGCCTTCATGATTCTGTGGCCCCGTTTTGGGCCGGAATCTGATTCATGTGATTGTAATCAGGGCCCTGATTGGCTGGCGAGACACTAAGTGGGACGGCTAATCAGCAGTGAGTTTGTAATGTAAGGAACAGATCCCGGAAAGGGGGACAGATCAAATGAAATGAACCTTTCCCCCCGCCTGAATATGTATGAAATGTCAATGGCTGAACATGAACTGTGCAACGTATCAAGAAAGTAGTGAAATAAATTAGCTGCTTCCTGATCTGCTGTGTGTTTGTGAGAGGCTTAGGCTACATTTTAATCTCCATCTTTGTTTCTGTCATGGTTCTGCTTGACTCTTCCCATGAATCCCCTGTTCAAAATATGAATTGTTACCAGACATCAAGTGATCGGATGTACAGTAGGTTGGACTCATAGTCTAGCATTTGTACTCCCGGCGGCCTGATTTTGATGAATTCTGGGTCGATTTTGACGATGTAGGGTGCTCGATTGGACAGATTGCCTATTTATTTGAAAAATAAGTGTCCACATTAGAGGCAATCATTTTCATTTTGTGCTCTCTATAGCCGATGGCCGCAACACTAGTCATGGTAGTCAAAATCAGCCCACCAAGAGTACAAATCTGGCCACTTTCTGGTTACAACTGCATTTATTTTATTCTGAAAATGGCAGAAAACATTTTCCAAATCGGCCAAGCCATTTTTGAACTACTTTCCCCATACGCTATAATGGTAATGTATGCTAATGAACACAACTTGTGCTAACTATGCAAAAATTGCCCAACATATGCTAGTTAGCAGCTAGCAGGTTCTATGTGCTGGGGACCCATACTATACATTTGAACATTTCACAACACTACTCTAATGGCTTGCAACTAAACTATCTTTCCCACAGATCCTTACAATTGTGTGAATTTGAATGAAAGCAATGCCTTGAATGTTTTTGAGATCATTGAAAGTTCATGAATGTCTCAAGAACACAGATTGGAAGTGATCTTGATATATTTGTTCTGCAAGCTTCTGTAAAATCCTGCTAGTTATAATTATAAAAACGTTCAGTGTTGCAGTCCTAATTCGTGTCTTTAACTATGCCATGCTAGGTCCTTGAATTTGAGAGAACAAGCCCTTGAAATTCCTTGAATTGTATGTTTATTAAGGCATGGGAACCCTGGAGCTCCATTTCTAGTGAATACTATTACTTTAGATACAGACATGTAAAAGAAACCCAACATCCCTTTGTGGCCGTGTAGAAATCTGACCTTCACCACGTTAATAGCTGTGGCTAACTCGCTAGCAGACGCTCTTCTACACACCCAGCAGCGAGAGAGACATTTTTTTAATTGGAGTTTCTGACCAGTTGCTTTGTTTTTTGTCAGAAATATCTGTCTGTAAGCTGCTTTGTTTCGCTTTTTTTCAGGTAGTGTTCTGTGGCTATTTAGAAATCTCTTTCCTGAAGCTGCTGAAACTACTATGATCGTGAACCATCAGTCAAGTTCTGTGACAGGCAGCTAATATAATAATAATAGTAATATATAAGATAAACAATGTGCTGAAACTCCATATAAAGCTTGTAAAGTCAGCAACTACTGCTTTCAATCAACCTTTCATAAAGCTTTAGTTGGTAGTTAACAACACCAGATAGATCTGCACACCAAAAAGCACCCTGCTTCCCTTCAGACTGCAGATATTGGTCATTAAACAGCTTTTTTATCACCTCATTTCTTTACAGATTATTAGTCTTATACTCATGTCAGGATATATTGATAGTTGGACTTAAAAAAACTCCTTCCTGTCTGGCTGACCTCAGGTTGACTGTAGGTGAAGTTATGTTAGAAATATTGATGAATAAGAATAGTTTCTTCTATTTTACTGTAGATATGTTGAAAGCGCAGGTGTGCATAATTAGTTAATTATCACTTAATTGACTTCAGCTTGTCACTGTGTTACTTACCAGGACGAGTCAATCAACCAGGCAGCTAGCGGGTTGCAGACTTTTCATGTGAACAACATATACAAACGGTGTCAAATTCACACGGATTGCAGGTCAGTGTTTATCTTTCTGGTATGTTTTATCACTTAAGAAGAGCATGTGTTATCAGAGTTGTGTTGAAGAACTTGTGTGGGATACACATGGTGTCCACTATGGGGCAGCGTCGTCTAGTGAAAATGTGTTTGTGCCAGGAGAAACGGAAGTCTGCTGAACAAAGATAAAACTGAGGTAATGGTTTTTGGAGCCAAGGCACAACGTAAAAGTTAGCGCTGAGCTTCAGTCTGCAATGTTTAAAACAACAGATAAAGCCAGAAATCTAGGTGTAGTCATGGACTCTGACCTGAGTTTCAACTGTCACATTAAAACTGTTACTAAATCAGCCTACTATCACCTAAAGAATATATCTAGGATTAAAAGACTAATGTCACAGCAGGATTTGGAAAAACTTGTCCATGCTTTTATCTTCAGTAGACTGGACTACTGTAATGGTGTCTTCACAGGTCTCACTAAAAAATCTATTAGGAAGCTGCAGCTGATTCAGAACGCCGCTGCTCGAGTCCTCACTAACACTAAGAAAGTGGATCACATCACTCCTGTTCTGAAGTCTTTACACTGGCTTCCTGTGTGTCAAAGAATAGATTTCAAAATACTGCTGCTGGTTTATAAAGCTTTGAATGGTTTAGGCCCAAAATACATGTATGATCTCCTGCTAAATTATGAACCATCCAGATCTCTCAGGTCTTCAGGGACTGGTCAGCTTTCTGTCCCCAGAGTCAGAACTAAACATGGTAAAGCAGCGTTCAGTTATTATGCTCCAAATATCTGGAACAAACTCCCAGAAACCTGCAGGTCCGCTGCAACTCTGACTACTTTTAAATCCAGGCTGAAGACTTTTCTTTTTGCTGCTGCTTTTAATTGAACTATTCACATCTTAGACTGCACTGTAACTTTTATCCATGTACTTTTTCTTTTAATGTTTCTTTTATTATCTTTTCTTTTTAATGACTGATTTTAAATGCCATTTTCTTAATGTCTTTCATTTTTTGTAAAGCACTTTGAATTGCCTTGTGTTGAAAGGTGCTATATAAATAAACTTGCCTTGCCTTTCCTTGCTGTAGGAGAATAAAAACACATAACACAATTATGACAGTTATTCACTTTATTTGTGGAAGGCACGGAGTAAATATATGTTTTATCCACTCGGTAAACTTATCTTTATGAGTTTAAAATGTATATTAAAAAGAAAACAGTAATGTGAAAATCCACCCGAAAAATATAATTAAAAAATCTTAGTAAGTAAAAGAGAATACAATGACGGGTTTTCTTTGACATCCATGGTTGTCGTGGTTATCATTACTAACTACTAGGGGTGTAACGGTTCACAAACATTTCGGTTCGGTACGTACCTCGGTTTTTTGGTCACGGTTCGGTTCGGTACGTTTTCGGTACAGCAGAATTTTTTTTCACAGAACAAAACATATATATATATATATTTTTTATTATTATTAAACTGTGAATAATGTATTCACTCAAATAAATACAAAATATAATAAAATAAACATTAAGGTGCAGCATTTCGATGAACTGAAATAATCTGTATTTGAACTTTACTGTAGGCTACTAGTACTCACAAAACATAAACTATTAGTTTTGGTTTTTTAATTATTATTAAACTGTGAATATTCACTCAAATAAATACAAAATATAATAAAATAAACATTAAGGTGCAGCTTTTCGATGAACTGAAATAATCTGTATTTGAACTGTACTGTACTGCACCTAAGCAGCCAGTTTGACATTATGACTTGTGCTTGTCATTGTATTTTCATGTTTTTTTAAAGAAAAATGAACTTGTCCACATTGCTTGCTGAAAGGGCAGATCTGCTGGCACTAACAATGTCTCCTGCTGTGGAGAACACCCTCTCGCTAGGGACAGAGGTAGCAGATACAGCCAGGTAGCGCTTTGCTAACATTGCAACATAAGGATAGTTGGCGTTTGTAATAGCTTTGGCTCGGTCTGATCTTTTTGCGAGTGGTGGAGGCTTACATGCTAGCGGGAGTTGGGTTTGCACTTCAGTCTTTTTTCTTTTGGTACCGGTGATATTCACGTTCGGGTGATGCCTTTTCAAGAGTGTGCAAGTTTGATGTATTGCCAGCCGCGTAACTAATTTTAGTTGAACAATGCCGACAAACAGCTTTGGTTCGGTCCACCTGTCTTTGTCCTTCATCCTTGTACGTAACTGCGAAACCAAAATGTTCCCAAACCGGAGACTTCAATGATGCTGGAGGATTTTCGAGCTCAACTTTATCTGCGTTCGCCATTAATTTTCGATAGTTCCTCAAATTACTGACTACATTTGAACGCATCCCTCTGACCAGCTCTCATAGTATGCCTCTCATCCAATGAAATGACTTGCTCGCTCTATGACGCGTTGAACCCAATGTGACCAAATTACTCTGAATGCTGCGACGCAGCACCTGAGATTACTTCCAAAAAGTTGTTCACGTTCTCAATTTTTTACGTTTAACGTTATATTCGTTCGGTACACTTCGGTACACACCTGTACCGAACCGAAGGGCCCGTACCGAATAATTTCGGTACGGGTACGTGTACCGTTACACCCCTACTAACTACTAGTTATGAGTGTGGAAGCTGCTTTTTCAACTATTGTTAAAACACAATTACTGAAACTAGTGCGCTCTCTGTCAAAACATCACACCCAAAATCCCAAAACATACACAACATATCTTATATCTTGAAAAAGCAATCCCTTAATTCAAAAGCTAAACATTTTATTTTTGCATTACAAATGTACACCAAGACGCCTTTATACATCTTGTATTTCACACTTTAATGTGTTAAGTAAAAAGGTATGTTGGCCTTTGCATTTATTCTATTAACTCATTCCCGTATCAGATGTCATTACAATTTGGATACCTAAACATAGTTGCACTGTAAACCAACTACAGTACATTGTAATTACATCTTCCTCTAACCCTCTCTAAATGTGTCCTCCATTGTTTCTAAGTGATTTATTGGCGTCTTACAGTTTCTAACTTAGTGATTAAGCAGAAAATGTGTTTATAGTTGAATTCTGCTGCTCAATAGATGATATCTTACATGAGGTAGTGCTTTCTAAAAGTTTCTGTGTCTTGGAAATTGCAAAAATCTATTCCATGTTAAATGTGGAAATTATAAACTACATTAAAGCAGAATGTGACAAAATAAGACATATTTTCTTTTTCATTTATCCTTCTTAGAAGATGTGGCAAAGCTTTTCTTATTTGGTAAAGCCTTTTCTTTAAAGAATCCTTTTTTTTCTGTCCCCCCTGGAATCCTCTATGTTGGTTGACCATCAATCTAAGCAGCAGATATTTGAAACATTGTTAATAACTAACCTTAATAAATCACATGCTTGAGACAAAGAAATGCTGACACAGAACACCAAGGTGTTATTAGATTATCTTCATCTATTTTAATTGGACAATATTTACAGCATGTACATAGTGTTTCATTGAAACAAGAGTGTAACACTGGTGGGCAAAGCCCTCTTTGCTCCTGAGGTCCAGAGACGGCTGACGTTCTCTACAACCACGATGTGCATAAAGAACATTTCGCTGAACTGGCTCTGTGTCACATGGCCCAAAAGGACATGAGTTTGCTGCTCTTGTATCGGTGGCTTCACATGTGGCACAGTCTTCATTCAGTCAGTCTTTACAGAGAGGAACAGTGTTTCAATATCAAAGATTCACCAGCGGGGTGGGGGGGTTCGCTTTTGTTTTACAGCTCCAATGCAATATTGTAAAAAAAAAGAAAGTTCAAACAAAACAAAGCGTATATACAGTTGAACTCAATAGATATATATATATATATATACATATACATACAATATTATATAAATATAGTAAAATAGATTAAATTACATTGATTTCACGGTCTTCCATAAATAGATGTTGGACAATAACAGTATGGTGATGTGTACAGTTAACGCTGGAAGCACAGTGTCAGATGACAGATTCACATCTCAACGGGCAAATAAATCCACGTCGAGTTTTCAAGTTCTTCGTTGTGAAATATCTCAA